TACAGTACTATAGCTCCAGTGGGTTTAACCTCTGCAGAGTTGCTGTCCCACTCTCACACCAGACTGCACAAAATAATAAGAATATATATTGCTGTACACACAGTCTTTCTTCTGGGGCATTTTTAATTATATCCTGACATTAATCAATTAACCAAGAAAGTAATTTGCTGACTAACTAATAAAAAAATATGTAAACATGCTGTAACTTCAGTTAAGAGCAGGAACAAACTGATGAACGTGACCTTCTGAACCTCAAAGCTACTTAAAAGGAGCATTTAATGAAACTGGGTATTAAGGGAATAACACCATCACGCTCCAAAAGCAAAACTAGAGGACAAAGCCAAAATACAGTAATTTTGTCTTAATTTAAATCACACAGTTCAGCTTTGTGCACCAATGTGTCCCAGTCACATGAAGCATGAATTAAATAATGCCAATTCTTATTCACGGTCATTACTCACACCTTAGGATGGTCTAAAACTTAAGCAAAGAATTTTAAACTCTTAACATTAGTCTAAAAACTCAGATTTAGACTATTTCTCCTGCCATTACATGTGAGCCACTACACCAGCTACAAGGTCAGACCTGTCCCAGAACAGTGTCAACAGTCTGATAAATGGAAGCTTTGCCTGTCAGCCACTCCACCAACTGACTGACACAGGGTCACAACACTTACTGATGCTTTCTGCCATTTTGGCCAACTCCTCCTGCAGTGTTCACTCAGCAGCAACAACTTGAATAATTAATCAATAATCAAATTTGCCCGTTAATGTTCTGATTAACTACTGGATAAATTCTCTCATCACTGTTAGATGGATTTAGTGTGTTTAAAGAAATAATGAAACTACCCTTTTTTTAGTGGGCGTCATTTGGAGCCAGACAGCAAATGTTTGCCCCAGAGACCCTCAGGCGTAAATGCTGGCCCTGCTTGCAACCCCAGTCTTGTTTTTAATGGTTTGTAATAATGTGACTGGCCTATAATTCTACGTGCACAAACATACAGTAGATGCATGTCATCTGCTTTTGCAGGCCTGTGAATTCTGACACGCTTCATATCAGGACTGACAGGACACGTCTACACCGCGTTGCCTTTTCGTTCGTCTAATGTAACATTTGCTTTTGTTTTCATGCTGGAGATTTCCCGGGATTTATTTACTCGCCAGTGACATACACATGCTAAAGCCGAGGCTTGGTGAAATGTTTCTGACAACGGCGAACAAAGCACCGTGCCACCTCCACACCGTCTTCTCTGCTAACGTGAACGGCTTTTAGCAACGCGCTGTCTGGCGTAAAAACGCGAAGGGTGCTCTAGAACTAACTACGCCATTTTCCAGGTTTGAACATAACGTTAGCGCTCATGGAAAAATGAGCCCACTGACAATACCACTGTCCAACGAAACACTGTATTAATACCGAAAATGTTTTCTATACAGTTCTTTCGCACGTAGCCGCAGCGTGTCACAGCTCTGATTTCACTAACTTGTAGAAGCGTTTTCGTACTAGCACTGTGAAAAATAACTTACCTAGGCAGGTGTAGAGAACAAAACAAGCTACGAGCAGCGCAATCGCCATCTTGCAGCGTCTCATGTATGGGTTACAGATGCACACACTCAGCACCTCTGAGAGGATGGGGGCAGAGCAGACTGGTGGATGTTGCCATCGACGAGTTTCCATAGCTACAGAGGCTGCGGGTGCAGAGCCCTCAACGCTGTCTGACAGGCGATAGGTGGTGCCAAATATGTGCTGCGTCTCCTACATAACACACACACAAACCCTGGGAAAGTGGACTTAAATGTGAAATGTCCAAAAATACACAGATTTTTGATTGTATGAAAATCAACTTGCAGAGACTTAAACTGTACTGAATATCTTTTCAGTCAGAGTAAGCATTCATTCTAATGCATAGACAAAGCATATAAAATATATTGCTTATCCTACAGTCCAGCCAGCACTACAAATGTTATAAATTTGATTGACCAAGCAATAAACTGGAGCAAGAATTTCCAAAGTAGCCATGAGCCACTTACAGTGTTGCTCAATAGGGGGGACCATGGTGTAGTGGGCACACAGCAGTATACTGTATTTGTTCAAATATCATTTTGGTGTATTTGAAATAACTGACTGGTTAATTAATTGATAAACTGTTTGTTTTGGATGTCATTTTCCCATTTTTTACAGATTACAGGTTTACAGGCTTAGTTACTCATTTGGCAACAATTACTTATAAATATGAAAGTGTGTTCTGTGTTTGACTACAAGACTGGAGATGTAATTGATTTAGCTGCACACTTGATACAGTGGTTGCTTTATGAGTAAAAAAATGCAGCTATTTAGTGACCAGTGATACAGCCTTTTGACATTTATTAAAGGAATATGCACTAAATATAGATGAGATAAGCTCTACTGTGAACAGTCACACAAGTGAAGGGTCCCATGATGGTTTGAATCTGTACACCCCCTGAGCCACAGACTATCTGTCTATCAAGCTAGCTACCTAGCTAGCTGTCTGTATTGTATGTACAGTATGTCGTCCTGTGGCAAAAGATTATTGCCTTTAAGGCAGCACTGATGGCCTAATCAACAATATTAATGGCTACAAGAGCATCAGGGTGGAAGATGGCCCTTTCACAGACAGCAAATTCCTATACATCAATGTGTCAATCATTTAGATTTTCAATTTCATTGCTAGGATATAGGCTATGTAGCAGCCATATGAAGCAGCTGCTTGGTTTCCTAAAAGATAAACAGCAGGTGGCAGCATGAAACCAGACATCATTGCTGCTGTCATTCTGTCAGACATCCAAATAATAGCGACACATGAATAGTACTGTATGTAATGGCATAGACTACAATTATATTAATATTATAGGCAGTCAATTTAGTAAATCCTCAGGAAACCGTTTATGTTAAGATGTGTTTAATTACAGTGTGTCTTTCTTAAACACTGAAAACACACTGTTACAGTGAAAGAAACTCTCAGACTGATGTTTGGAATTTAGTGTTTGCCCTTAGAATACAACCCTGTGATTCAACCCCTAAGATGTAAAAAATAAAAAAAATTACAAAATAAACCAAATGAACTTGAATGGTCCTGCAGCGCAGACCTCCCCGCTCACCTTCTACTGTTATAGTGCTGGTAGTGCATGGCAGTCATCTGTCTGCTCTGGACCTATACATTTCAAATGCAGTGACACACGAATGAAATGGACACTGGATTTTGAAGAGCTTCCTTTGGCAACTGTAAATCCCATTTAAGGACATTTAATGCCAAAATCAGAATACTTGTTGTTTGAAGAGACTTAACATTTCTTGCTGGAAGGTGAATTAAATGACTAGAAAGAGATACAAATCAGCTATAAAGAGACACAAAGCAATTACAATTACACAAAAGAACCACAATGAGACAGAACCAGGAAAAAACACAAAATGAGCACAGAAAGATGTAAAATTATTACACAAAGGCACAACATTTGTTGATTTGTGTCATTTCAATTTGGGTGTGTCTTGATATGTAGGATGGGGTGGCAGGTCTTGGTGTGTGTGTGTTTGTGTGGGGGGTAATTACATGTTTGTACCCAGGTTTATAAACCATCCATAAGTGCAGGTAATAATGATTTTGAGGAAGTTGAGATGTATTTATTTCTGAGCCAAATTAGTGACACTAACACAGAATCACATTGAGTCATATTACAGCTGTTGCTTATTGGCACTTTCATTTCATGTGGTATGTATTGGTCATATAAGGCAGTGATTGTTCCACCGTCATGTGTACTGTGGATGTATATCTTTCACAATATGAAAAATGCACTACTGTTGGGTTTGGATTTTAATATCCAGTCCTCTATCCAGTGTCAAACCCATGAGTCTTGTTCCTGAAAACCTGACAGACAGGTCTAACACTAACCAAGCTATTTAAGGTGCTGAAGTTAGCACAAGACATTAAAGCATATCAGCCTGCAGTATTATGCAAAATCTACAGCGAATTAAAACAGCAAATGTCTGTTACATTAAAGAAGATTATTGTACTCAAGTGCATCAGGTTAAATAAATTACATATGTTTATGCTTTTTATTCTTGTCTATACATTTTGAAATCGGTATTATATTACAGGGTATCTGCAAGTTAAGTTTTAACACTTAAAAAATGCCAGTCAGAATGAAAGTCAAGACCAATTTCCCAAAACAAAATGCCTAAGGTAAGCATAAGCCTAAACTTTATTGCTAAGTATTATCAAAAATACGGGGACAATATAAAAACAGAATAAAACCAAATCCACACAAAACAAAGATAAAAATGTACACACATACATACATACATACAAGTTAAAAGAGCTACCGTATCTAATGTATGTTGTTACACAGTGGTATGTACAGCATCCTACCATATCCTTAAACATACACTGTATGCAACAATTCAGCATGTGACACAAACAGTCTGTGTTTTCTAGATCCCAGAATAAGCTTTACTGGCCAGGTAAGTTAAACACATGAGGAATCTGACTCGTACAGTGGTTCTCAGCGAGCATGTACAATGTTCTTCCATAAGGCAATGAGGAAACAAGATAAGACTGAGAACAAGAAAAGAAAAGAAATGTGCAAACATGAAAAAGGAATGTGCATTAGGAAAATAAACAACAAAAAATAAGTTTTTATAAATATAAAATATACACCAATCAGGCATTACATTGATTTGATTTGATTTATTTATTCTTTCAAGCATGTAAAAACAGTTGATATGTCAACACACATAATTTTACACATATCCAACAAATGCTAATCCAATATCAATTTGCTTATACCTAGTACATGCTTGAATGGAGTAGGAAGAAGTCAGACTTATCCAGTCCTACCCCATGACATCATCTTACATCATTGGTTTGCAAGCAGTATCTCTACATAAATAATTATCTTCTACACCACACAAGTAATATACTAAAAAATTATAACAGAGTGTTAACATTCTTACATAATTACATTCTTAAATAATT